GTTTCTATTATAAAAAGAATACGTCGAAATGTTTTCGTTTTTTTCTTTGTCTGTAGTGTCTTATCTTTATCTATTTTCAGATACATTGTGTAAAAATATTTGGTAATTGTAAAATTATAATAATAAATTAAAGAAATAACAGCAAAATTGCTAAAAATTTTGGCAACCTCCAGCTGCAGCTCCCACAGTTTAAGAAACCCTGTTTTAAGAACCACTGGCTCTTATACACGTTAAACCCGTATCACACATATTTCCGCTACGCGCGACTGGACATTGAAAGGGAGATTTCTAAGAACCCGCACTTGCGTAACTAGGATACCATTTTCTCTTACTAAACAGACTTGAACGCCAAACAGTAAATGATTATCGCTTAGATTGGCGAAAGACACGTTTGTTTTCAAATTTAACCCTTTGAGGCACAGTGTGTCCGGTCTGGACACACCTAAAAATTGGCTTTTGTACGCACAGAAAAATTGAATGAAAAAGGATTTATAGGTTACTCTGAACCTTCTTTATTTATAGTAGATGGCAGCTCAACACAAGCCAGTCCATATATTTTAGCCATGTTTAGTTTTTTAAAACCCTGATTTTTCAAAGAAATCACCAAATTTTTTTTAGGGTATAAAAGGAATTTTTTGAAAAGAAATTTCTATGTTATTTTTTTGGCTGTATGCTAATCTCCTTATTCTATATTAGTTTTAAATTTTTACCTTGAAACCTTGCTTAAAATCAAACGGCGAACCCTTGGTGTGCCCAGACCGGGCTCACCGATAATCTAGGACAACTGATAGTCTGTAGTATTTGTTTCCCCGCATCTCATCGGTCAGTTCATTGACAACAATGCTCGTTTCAGCACTCTTTTCAAAGCTCTATTCAATCAGTGTGCCCACTTTGGGCACACCCACAGAATTAACAGATAAGTGCTATCTTCACAAAATTTTACTTGTGTACTCCTCTAGGCCTAATTAGACTGCCTACCTTTTTTTATATATAAACTCCGAATTATTATTTTCTTTATATAAAAACTCCGAATTTAAAAGGTAGCGTGCCGGAAAGGGTTAAGGAAAAATTGTTCCCTACCTTTTAGTTTGGGCGCCACTATAGAGTTATTAGGCTTCTTAGAAGCAGGAGACATGAAAAAAGAGCAATGCCCTCGCCGAGAATCTAGTCCTCTCAAATACGCGCCGAGTGTGCTACCGTTACACCACGAAGGCATGCTGGAAGGAGGGAAAAGTACCTTGTCATGAATCTTAAAACTCTGAGGGTTACTACGTGTTCATTGTCAAGTAGATGCAATAAAAGCAATCCGAAATGTATGTAAATCGCAAAACCTTTTCTATTGAAGTTAATGCAAAACATATTTAGAAATAAGTATGTAAACTGAAGTTTACTCTAATGAATGTTATTTCGAACAAAGGATGAATGAATCTAGCAAATCCTCACAAGATCCTACTTCTAATTTAACGACATGTATAAGTTTGCTACAGAGTTTATGACAATAGATACAAGATTTGAGGGGTAAGTATATAAGGTATTTTCTCTCTCCTTTCTACATGCCTTTGTGGTTTAGCCGAAACGCATGCTCGAAGCGTATTCCGCAGTTCAAATCCCAACAAGGGCATTGCACATTTTGAAGTTCACCACATCGAAAAACCTAATGACTCTGAAAATATAACAAAACCAAATGAAATAATGAAACTAAAAATCTGGCATAAGCAATATCCCACATCCCCTTTTACTCTAATACTCAAGAAAGACATAGAAAATAGAAATAAATGTTGATGAAAATCGAGCAGATGTAAATACCAATTTAAGAAGTCAATCAGATTTTGTAATAAATACATTGTTTTTGCCCCAAAATTGGAAGCAAAATTGAAAATAACAGGAAGTTAACAAATAATTTAATTACATTTTAACATAATTCGAAAATGTATAGAAAATATTAGATTACACAAATCAGCTTTTTGAAAACGTTTCTTTTATTGACACTGAGATGTTTAAGAATTAGACGACGTGTTGACAATTTTAATGGCTAGAACGTGAAATTTGCAAAGCGCGAATATGTATTAGCTCATAAAATAATAACAGCATTACATCTTCCGCATGAAATTGGCAACAGTCGCGCAAGCTGGAGATGAAAATCTGCTTTATTTCAAATGCTGTTGCCACTGCTCGCTTTCAAATCCTAGAAATTGTTAAAAAAAAATTTACGTTTTTCGATGAAATAAAAATAGCATTGCCAAACATTAAATACATATTATTCCCGATTCTAAAAATTCTTAGGAAGCCATTTCGACTGTTTCCATCTTCGCACGACAGCCGAGATATTAATTAAAAACTCTGAAAACGATAATTTTCGTATTCATTTATCCGAGTGGCAACAGTCTGGCGCGTTGGAGATAAAAATGTTTTTTATTTCGAAAAATATTGTTACTGCTTGCTTTCAAATTGTAGAGTTTGTTTGTTAATCAAAAATTTGTAAGTTTTACAAAATATATACATATAAGGAAGAATACCTGCTTGTGTGTTTGTTTGTTTGTTCGCGTTATTGATTTCTGATCAATTGTAATCAATTTTTTGCCCCATTTAATGTAGGTAAAATATTAAATGGAACTTCAGCTTTTACGAATATTTGATTAGAAAGACGAAAATCATTAAAAAGTGTGCCCCATTGTTGCTAATATAATGAGACAGAATTATCTTATTTTTCTATCGAAATTTTTTATGTACGTTCCATATCGCATCAGACTGAAAAATGTATGATTATGAATCGTACTTTTTTGCATCGTTGTTAGAGAAGGATTACAGCGGCATCGTATTCTCAGTTTTTAGATGCATTACTTTCAATCTAACTTATCTGGTATCTGGTACTTCCGCTATTTTTATATATTTTTCATTATATCAGAAGCTGTTTTATTATACATTTATTATTAAACTTGTAGAGACATTAGGTATATTTTAAAGCAGAAGAAATGAAAAGTGAGCATTGCCCTGGCCGGGACTCGAAACACGGAAAGCTCGAATACGGACCGAGTGTGCTGACCACTACACCATGAAGGCATGCTAAGAAGGCGGTATAAATACCTTATGCACTAGTACTTTTATTCATTGGTATTAACAAAAAGGTTAGGTGACATTTTTTAAGATTCAATTAGACAATGAGACCTAGGCGCCTCAAATGAAATTTTGTCTAGGGCCCTTAGAGACTTTGTTCGTCAATGATCCTCAAGAAAAGTAGGTACGGCTTTAGTACTTTTGGAACCCTAGGCAATCTCTGCATTTGATACTCCATATAAATTAAACATATGAATAATCAAAAACGGAATATATATTTAGTTATTGTTTGCGACAACAGCTTGGCTAGTGCCCTCCAAAAATCGGCGTCTGAGGCGGTCATTTCATTCGCTTAAAAGCAACCTTGAAACAAATTAGAACTGTAAAAAATCCCAAATTTATACTATAGAATAATATCATAAGCAGTTTCAATAAATAATCGAATAATAAAGATCATGCTTTGACGTCAGATTACGGCAGAAATAATGAAGCATCCTCCTCAATCGCTTCTAAGTTAGTAATTGTATTCGCGAATGGCAGTGGAGGAATAGCATTGGACGGACTGGACCCGATGCATTTCACCATCGGCTAGTTCTAGAATGGTGGACGTTCCGCAATTTTTAAAATATTTGATTTTCTTCAGTTTAAGGGGTGTTGGAGCCCCAAAATCTTCAAAAAATTGTGAATTTGAATTTTTGCATTTTCAAATTCTCTACTCTTTTATCTTTCTAAAAATACCATTCTTTAATCTCTATGACAATTAGAACTGTAAAAAAATCTAGTTTTGATATGTCATCGACTGCTTTGATCAATGAGGATTTTTACATAAAAACGCATTTTTCTCCAAACGTGATTTTTTTATACTCGATGTACCTTTTCTCAGGAACTACTGCGTACAGGTATCTAAAATTTTTTGTGGCTTATTTATTAGGTTTCCTAATATTTACTCAAATAAGCTTTTTGTGATAAATTTAGAATAAAAACTTTTAAAAAGTTTTTGTGTGAGAAAAGTGCTAAATTTTACTATGCCTAACAAAATATTCTGTAAATTACTCTAAAATTCAAAATGTTTCAAAATCTCATTTCAGTATAATCAGAGAGGTATACATTAATTACACAAAAAATTTCAAGCGTGTACCTACAGCAGATTTTGAGAAAAGGTACATCAAAAATGGCCCAATTTAACATTGTCGGTATAGGGGTTTCTGATACCCCTTAAAGACTTTTTTTTTTAGAAATTTTATCCGAATTTCGAAGAAAAAAATTTCATTCAGAAAAATGTATCAATTACGAAATAAAAGTACATAAAACAATAACACAATAATATGAGAGGTTTCTTTAGAAAACTAGAACAAGAGAAGTGAAAACGAGCTATAAATTGGAATTACATTTATAAATTAAGGAAATAAATCAAAATTTACTTGTTCTTATTTATTCATAGCAACCTGTACGAAAGAACCTAAGTACCTTTGCTCCTACCCGAAATTTCAGGAACGCTACAAAAATGTCTACGAAAACTTTCGTGATGTTGAATAGCTAAAGAATGCAACTGGATTTTTAAGTGGTTTCATCAATTACCGTTGACAAATCGCAATCACCTTTTTTTTTTTCATTCCTTTTTTTTATTTTTACTTTTATTTATTTATTTATTTATTGTTATTATTATCTCTTTAAAACTATGTATCTCAGTATTTCCTTCTTCTAGATACTAAGCAATTATTATTTCACAGGGTATTGTAGGGACCTGAAACATTGATAAAATGAATGACCCTGACAATAACAATAAAGGTAGAACAGAAATCACTTTTTACTATGCATAACCCGCTGAGAGAAGTTTCCTTCAAAATTATGTCTTTTTTTCCCGTAAGTTGTAGTCCAGTTTCCTTCTCGAAGCGACAGTTCAAGGTTAGATAACATTTCCCGTGATTGGCATGACTCGAAACACATCAGTAAATAAAACTTGAGGAGAAAGTGAGGTGAGAAATGATCTTCACGCTTTCCTGCAGTAACACCCATTGTTTACATTAAGAAACAGTTGTAGTTCTTACGCCGCTTTTGAAAATTGAAGAGTCTCGAAACCCAAGTACGTATTTTCATTTATTGTTATTGATAGATTATTCAAAATTAATTATTATTGTCAAGTTTAAATATGTAAATTATGACTTAATATTAGACATATTGTAATATAACACAGTGCACGTTTAAATTTTAAAATACGAAAATGTTCAAAATTTGTAAGAAATCTATTATTAGCCCAAAAGGGCTATCTGCCCAGAAGGACTATTAATTTCGTTTTGGCATTTTGCGTCGATTCACGATAAGCGTTTTTTCACTTTTCATATTGTTGCCACCAAATATTCTCGCCCTGTATTATATTTAAAGAAATTAAATAACGACGAATCTGCATGAATGTATGTATGTTTCTCGCATTGTGATAAAACAGCGGTACCTAGAGCCATCAAAATTTGAATAACGTAATCTTCCATAGAATATGGGTATGTGGAAGCCCTAATTTGAATATAAAATTTGTTTTATTATCGATTTGATACTTTGTAACACTTCAACGAACTTTTGATTAACAAACTCACCGATTTCAAAGCGAGCAGTGGCAACATTGTTCGGAACAACCAAAAAAAAAAAAAAAACATTTTTATCTCCAAAGCGCGAGACTGTGTATCGGAAATTCTAAAGATATGCTCATTTAAAAATTAATTTGCAATATTGCTGTTGAACTGAATTTTATGATTTAAGTGCAAAGAATATGATATTTGATAAAGGTAACACATAAAATGTTAAAAAAAACGCCTCTTCAAACGAAATTTAAAATGTGAAAATTTTCAGGTTTAAAATTTTTTTTTAAAAAAATTTCTTTTGTATATAACAGCATATCTTTTATTAGATAAACTAAAATACATTCAGTTCAGGGTTAAATTTTCTACGCTTGGAGACTTTGGTGTTGGTGTATTTAATTATGGCAAAGCACATAAGGGCTATCTGCCTAAGAGGAGGGATGCCTTTCGTGGAGGACTTTCTAAGGGAAACTGGCTCGTATACACGTTACACATGGGGAAAACCACGAAAACACCCATGCAGCCAGCCCGTTCGCGGGATTCGAACCTCGGACCGAACTACCAGTGTTCAGCGACTTTACCGCTCGGCCGCTGGTGGGCTGGAGACTTTGGAGCAAAATTGTTAGCGCTCTGTTAAAGGCTGATAGCAACCTTAACTTACCTGTCTTTTTGACAGATAATAGCCTTTAAGATAACTTTCTGGTCTCAGGAGACTCCTGAATAACATTTTACGCTTTTTTTGATTCAGAGTAGGGTAGCTAGGGTTTAGTTTATGATGTAATTTCTTCCTTCTTTCTGCGTGCCTTCGTGGTATAACGGAAGCACGGTGTCGCGGAGAAAACAGCGCAAGGGCGAAAACTTCGCGGTACAAAACATCGTGGGAGAAAATATTGCAAGGAGAAACATCGCAGTTCTAAAACATCGTGGTACAAAATATCGTGGTCGAAAATAAAGCGGTTCAAAAACTTCGCAGTTTAAAAACACCGTCGTCGAAAATATCGTGGTAAAAAACAAAGCTTCTACAAATCATCGCATGACGATAACATTGCACACATACTTTTTTCAGTCTTTAAAAGTTGTAAATGCATATTCGCATAATGAATTGTGAGCGCAAGAAGGAAAGAGGAATATATTTATTTTTATAATTCATAATTTTGAATTAACTAATACATTTTTGTTGAAAACGTGAGAAGGAAACCTGAGCATTTTAAAACTGAAAATGAGTAGAAAATTAATGTAACTTATAGCATTTAATAGAAGTTTTAAGCTTATATAGTTAACTAATAAAGGTTATAAATAAATTCATCTTTTTTTATATTTTGCTGATAATTTTTAATGAAAAATATATTCTAAAAATGTTTAGAAAGAGGAATATCTGTAAATGCATGAGATAACCTCTATTAAAACTCTTTAATTATTTATCAAATTATTTTCTTTCCCGTTTTATTCATTTGATATTCTTTTAGTGAAAATTATATATTGTTTTGCTTCCGTTTATTCTTAAATTGTCGTTAGCATTTTCATGCATTGCGTGCAATCAGTTTTTTTATGTCCATTTATGACGAAAGTTAGTTACATAATATGGCAATATGGGATTTCAAAAACGCATGTGTGCGATGTTATCGTATTACGATGATTTTTAGGTACTTTATTTTTTACGACAATGTTTTTAAACTGCGAAGTATTGGTACCGCTTTATTTTCGACCACGATATTTTGCACCACCATGTTTTAGAACTGCAATGTTTTCTCCCACGATGTTTTGCACCACGACATTTTCGCCTTGCGTTGTTTTCGTCCACGATGTTTTTGGCGCGATGTTTTCGGCTGTAACCCGCTAACCCACTCAGCGCGTATTCTAGAAGTCCAGGTTCGAGTGCCGGCGAAGGCATTGCTCATTTTTCATGTACTCCTGCTTCAAAAATAAGTAATGACTGTACAGTGGCGCCCGAACTAAAATGTAGTGGATGATGATTCTTCACCGCCAGGATTTCGCGATTGGGTCTCCAGTCGCCCTTTAAAAGGGGAAGTATGTAAGGTATTTTCTTCTTCTTTTCTGCATGGTGGTTCTTTTCGTGGTGTAAGGAAAACACACTTGGCGCGTATTTGAGAGGTCAAAGCTCGAGTCCCGGCGAGGACGTTTCTCATTGTTCATGTCTCCTGCTTCAAAATAACATAATGACTCTATTAGTTATAATAATGTTGGAGAAAATGTTTATATTTTTAAACATATTTACGATTCCGAGGTTATAATAGCTGTTTTTCATAGCATAACTATCCCTTCATGATATTCAAGAAACAAAATTTCGGTAATTTTGTTAAATTTAGCACAAAAAATATTTTACCCAAATTATTTGCCTGTTACAATTTGCCCCAGTACTCGGCTACAAACTTAAGGCTAGTGGTAATAGTAAACACGACAAGATTTAAATAGCATTTGGAAATTATTATTACTTGATGAAGAAACAATTAAGTGGTTTATAGTAAACCAAAGATGAAATTAACTAACTTATCAACAACACGGTTAGTCTTCATGAGAATTTCGGTTAACACAAATTACAGATTGTTTTCTCTCATTCATTTAACGTATGTCCCCATTTTGCAAAATAAACAATGCACCCTGTTCATCAGAATTGTTTTAAACATCTTTGTAAAATAAGCAAAAACACTTTTCTGATCCAGAAATCTGTATCTGAGATCAAAATTTTCTTCTTCATTTATTTTATCCCTTCGTTTTCTTTTTGGATTTATTTTGTCTTTAACTTTTCCCTTTCCTTTATTTTTCTCTTCATATTTCGTTCCTTATTAAGTATCTTTTCATAACCTTTTTCCTATGCTTCTTTATCGGGTGTGTCAGATAGGATGGCAGATTTCCTTTTGCATCGGCGTCTGTTGCATTGCTTCCGAGGTGTAGCCATAAGAACTGGTCTAATCTTTAAGGGTATAAAATTGATTTTTATATTTTGGGAAAGAAAATTAAATACAAAAAAGTAATTGGCATGTTAGCATTTAAAGAAGAAAAGCTAATCATAGGAATCAAAATCTCGGGACAAGTTGTAACATGTACACAGCGAAAAAAAAAAAAGAAAAAAAGGGATATCTCCCGTTCTACTGGGTCAATTGACGAAATTCAACCCTCGCTTTTCATGTCTCAAAAGCACGACTTAGAGTATGTATTAGATTTATATACAGCTTTGTTCTAATATAGGTATTTTGACATAAAATCAGACCTTTTCTGAAATGACATGCCAATTGTTTTCCATATTTCGGTTCTACGACTCAAATTACGCCAAACTGCCAAGTTTTGTAAAAATCGCATGAGTAGTTTTAAAAAATTAGCCCACAACATTTTGGTCCTTAATTTTAATTAGTATATATTTATATATGTCTCTTTTTTTATTAAATTTATTTGATTCTTCCTTTCACACTTCGAAATTCGGGTTCATTCCAATTAACATTTGGCCATTTTTTACGATTAATTTTTTAATTTGTATTTTTAAATATTATAAATTTTTCGAAAGACATTTTCGATTATAACGTATAAAATTTTTACAATCACCTTAAAGTAAATGTATTACTAAGCATACCTGCAAAAGATTAAAATTTTTATTCAGAATTTCTGAAGATATTCGTGAATTGGTGCATTTTGAAATTTGGCATATGTGTTGAAAGCAATAATAACATCAAATGGTATTTAGACACTTTGTTAAAATTATTTGAAAGTGGAAACGATGTGACTTTTTTTCCCGCTCATCCACAGTGTAAAAAGGTAGGAACGAAGTAACATTTTTTCCGCTCCTGTACAATGGAAGGGAAAGGAAAATAGGTTGCCATACATTAAGAAGTTTGCCAAATGAATTATTTTTGGCGCAAACTGAAAAAAAATGGCCAAGTTAAATTCTTGAATTTCTTCGTAAATTTCGTCACAAATTTTATAAAATTAAATATTTAGGTATAATTTGCGTCTTAATATAGAAATATGGAAAAATATTGGTATGATTTTTTTCAGAAAAAAAATCCCATTTTGTGTCAAAATACCTATGTTAGAGTAATGCTATATATAAATCTAATATATATCTTAAATTGCTCTTTTGAGACATGAAAACCAGAATTTCGTCAATCGATCCAACAGAGCGGGAAATATAGAACAGTCTTTTTTTGTACCAACTTGCCTTATTATATTTTTATGAATTTTGTATTCGATAGAAAATTTAGTAGAATTATAATAAAAGTTATTTTATTAGAGATATTAATTTTAATTATAATTAAATTATTTTTATTTATAATTAAATTTTATAATAATTTTATTTTTTATTACTTTATTTATTATAATTTTATTTTTTGTTTTATTTTATTTCTTATTATTATTTATAAATTTTTGTTTTTTATTATTTATTATTAATAATAATTTATTTTATTTATTATTACAAATTTTAAGAGAAACCTATGCCGGAAAAGTAAGAATACAGAGGCACGTGCATTTAACATTGGAAAATGGATATCTCGGTAATTTG